TTTTAGTGCCTACAATCAATTTCCCCACTAGTCCACTCTTCCAGGTGAATCAGTATACCAGTTGCCGTGAAGACAATGCACAAAATAAATTTGCTCACGTGCACATCATTGGTTCAATCGATTCCGTGCTTGGCAGAGTGTAAGGGAGTAGATCTAGATATGGTCTGGGGCTCGGCTAGTCTCAACCCTGATCCGAAACTGAGAAAGAAACTGAGTTATGATATCTGAGATTGGCAGGTTCGCTGTGATAAATATCTGAGCTTGCCCAAATTGGTTTAGTATAATATTCTACCATATATATTAATATTAATGAGGTATGCGGATTCCCACTCTGGCCTCGAAAAAAGAACCGGTTATCCCAGAGTGGGATATGTTAGAGTTAGGTCCCGCTTGCYAGCGGGAGGTGCGCGGGTTCGGCAGCTTTCAATATATATGAAATGGCGCAGAGGGATATATAGTCTATTTACATACTTACAATTTCCTAGGGTATTCATTATAATATTCAAATGACTTTGAATAGTGACTCTTTCCATTGTACATTCTATACTACACTTTTTGTTTTAGTACAAAACGTGTACTTACTGTCGTCATCGTGTATGGTAACAACGTAACTTGTTGTATCGTTGAAGGTGACGCGAGAGTCGGTAGTGTTTATGGAAACGTTGAATGTTTTGTACTCTTGTTCGCCCCAAGTGTCGTTAGTCACAGGAATGACGAGTTCTTTTACCGTGTCGTAGGCTKTAAACACTATATTATCACACTGTGCTTGTACTGCTGGGTAATCATGCGGCAGAGAGACTGAATCGGAACTTCTGCACAGTCTGTATGGGAGAGACRAAATCTTTGATTGAATTTGGATTGAATATGAATTGTATTTCTAGGCGAGAGCATTGAATGAAAATCCTAGAAAAGAGGAGAAAATAGATGTAATAGGATACTGAACAACCCTTACCGCACAGTGTGAGTGTCTTCAAGCACACCAACACGACAAAGYCGAACTGTGTAGGACCCAACGTTTTCTTCAATAGAAGTTAAATATCCAGGACAGAAGTAAACGAAGCCTGAAAATATGATATGATTTTTTGTGTTAAGCTCTGTGTAAAACGGTTTAATAACTGAAAGAAAGTATAACTGTACCTTACTGCCAACATAAAAGGATTTTTCATGTTTATGTTCAGGGCTACGTGTGTTGGCTAATGCGAAGTTCCTACTCAGACATTAGCCAACCAATCACCTTTACAGTGGTTTTTCTGATTAAATCATGTCCCACGAACAATTACACAGACAACTTTCTATTCTTTTCCCAGGACATTAAACTGTTGACATAATTTATAATCAATTTTCAGCCTCAGAGTTTTTAATTCCTAGATTTATCTTCTTTTATTTTTGATTCTGAAATTTTGATCCCGTTGCACCGTGTAAACCCTCTTGCAACTTATGTCCCAACACTGTTCCGAGAGAAATTGCAGAGAAAATTGCTCCGGTAATGGCGCTTAAGCATGTGGTACATAGCAACGGTAACTTAAGGGGAGTCGGAAGCTTTCATTGCTATTGTTGTGTGTTGTTGTTATTCTATGCCGCCATGCATCACATTTGAGTAGAGGTGTTTACGTGCTGGTTCTCTCCTGTGATTTGGGYTCGTGTTATTCCCCACAACATCAACTTTATAAAATACCTGTTAGAAATCTCGCGTTCTGATTGGTTGGGAGCGCGTACTTTATGACAGCACTTCTTTATGCGTGCGCACTTTGCAATGCGTCATAATTCCTATCTAAAATAACARTTATTGTAATTTGTATCTTATTAAAGAAATAAAAAAACTTGCTTTCTGCGTTCCGCCTACCTCCACGTGCTTTATAAATGCACGCAACAGGGGCACACGTTTTCTATCTCTTCAATATCGTTCTTTGGACTACCTTGAACACAAGATGTGTCTTGATTTTGTGCTAAGATACCGAGCAATACTTACTGTCATCGTTYATGATATTTATCTGTATACCAATGCAGGACGGATCAACAACCACTCTTGCGTCAGAAGTGTTACAAGTAACTGTAAAACTCTCATTTGTCTCGACTACTCTGTTATTTCTAACAACCACAGAAAAGTTTTTARTCAATTGATTGAATGCAAATGAGACTGTGGCTGAAGATTGAGATGTGTAGTCGCACGGGCTTAAAGCCGTACCGTCGGCAGTGCTGCACCTAAAGAAAATGAAAAAAAAAAAAAAATCATTAAAAATATACAATAACATAATAAGGCCAAGAGCGACATTTCTGAGATTGTAGACATTGTGCATTGTAGTCTAGCTTGAGTTAGTCATGTCTTATATGATGGTGTTTGCAGCTACACCAGAATGCACGTTATTTCGAGCTACGAAAACCTGATAGAATTAGTTCATAACTGTGTACGTACCAGATATTATTAGCAGTGAATGCGGTTGCTCCAGTTCTGTCCAGTCTCACAGTAGCAGGACCATTGGCTTCTTTCAGTGATGCACCTTGACATGTAATATTCACTGAAAAGAAGTATTAAGGCTTATTCCAAAATACATTCACTCGAAAAGCGCAAAATGTATATTACGAAGTCGGATTATTTTATCGAATTAAAACAAAGTCGCAGGAAAACAACTATATCTGTTAACTGTGTTGTTGATTCATTYTCCCGTTAGAGTAATAATGATTGTGCTTTATAGCACACTTTCCAATCAAGGACTTTTTTCTCTAAATTATATTTTTGTCTTACAATGCTATCTCAGTCCAATACACAAGAAATGCAACGGATCGTCATGAAGGATTGACGATCCATCTAACCGATGTCATTTCTAGAAATCAAACAGGATGCCCATGACAGCGATTCACCACCAAGGTTGATAGTATTGGGTTTTCTGTGGTATTGACGATCCGTCTAGCCGGAATTCATTTCGTTTATATATGAAATCTTGACGGATCGTGACGGATCGTCATGAACTTTGACGATCCGTCTCAACGGATGTCATTTCGTCAATATGCAGCTCATGATATCCTCATAATCCCCTTGTATGAAGTCTCGTTCTATAAATCAAATACACACTGATGGTTCGTTATTATGACGTTCGTTATATAAAGTCAAATATACAGACTGATCGATTGTTATTATGACATGCTTCGTTCTATAAAGTGAAATACAGAGTGATCTATTGAATAGTTGGAGCAGTTAAAAGATTTTTTTTTTTTTTTTCATACCATCATCACTTATGACTTTGACAACTCTTTCAGATTTTCCACTCTCAACATTGCTCGGAGACACTCCTGATATCTTAACCTTGAAAGTCTCGTCGTCTTCTATCAGTCTGTCATYCACCACTGTACAGGCTGTTATRGTTTTGTTGTCTTCATTTGCTGCAAATTTGATGTCATTGGTGCTTGAACCAATGCAATCTGCATTCTCAGCTGTGTCAAATATGAGTTGTACTCTAAGGGCAATTGATAAAAAAAACAAATTAGCACATATACATCTTTTTTATTTGCTGAACACTCAAGAAATAACGGTCGAATATCGACATATGTTCTGTGCACAGATAATATCTATTGATGAAAGTTTCTATCTGTTAATGATGATGATAATGATGATGATGATTGAATGATGATGACATAATAGAGTGCTCACACTAAATCCGTGAAACAAATACTAATTTTTAGCAYTAAATAGTGATAATTAAACAATAGAAAACAAAGGATTCTGTATGAAATAGTACTAATTAGTACCATTTAATGTTTACGGTTTTAGTGCGTGCACTCTGATATTGATTATGGGATAATGATGAGTCATAGATATTCATATGATAAACGGATAATAATGATAAAGATGATACAGTGTTGTTGATGATTACGATAATACAATGAGGATGATAATCTGATGATATGGTGATAATGTTAATCATGATGGTGATTGGAAGATATGACAATAATGATAATGCATGATAAGGGTACCGTTTGCGATGAAAATAAAATTTAATGTTTTTGTAGTTTTTGCTTGTTTTGGGGTTTTTACGTTTTGTTTTGGCTGTTATTTTTATTTGTTCTGCTTATAAAAATAATGAAGACTTTATTTAAAGGGGATATACACTTAATAGTGTAAATACACTAACAAAATTTTTTAAATACTTTATTCTTAAAACTCTTTATTGTAGCCTTTTTTTTTCAAATCTGGTGCCAATTCATTCCACAATTTAATTGCGGAGACTAAAAACGTTTTCCCTCCCTTATTAATTCTTTTAAACTTAGGTAAAATAAAATTACAATTGCTAAACCTAGTGTTTCTTGAGTGCTTTGAACTTACTAATTGCAAACTATCCATAAGGTACTCAGGTACGTTGAGTTGGGTTCTCTTAAATGATATAGACTATTTGGCTAATTTGGTATAATTGTAGAAAGGGATCCAATTTAAACGATTAAAAAGCTTAACTGATGAGCTCCTCGTCTCAGCATCTAAAACAACCCTGCTGCTCTTTTTTGTGACCTCAGAATTCTAAGAAGTGATTCCTTTGAAATTAACGATTGCCAAGTCACACTGGCATAATTAGATATAGGCTTAATCAAAGCGTTGTAAAATAAAAGTCTTTGGTCTAACGGTAAACAGAGTTTGATCTTATTCAATATGCCAATTCTTTGAGAGAGTTTCTTGCACAGCCTATCGATGTAAGTGTTAAATGATAAATCATGGTCAATGTCAAGTCCAAGAAGTTTACCAGACGACACTTGCTCCAACATTAAAATATATAAACTAAAAATAAAAATAACTCAAGTCATAAATATGGTCTGACTACTTGGATTGTAAATTGAACAGGTAAGTTTCTTTTTAAAAAGTTCTACTGATGATACATGTCTAATTACCATTACGCCACTACTTGTTTTCAGAGATAGTTTATAGCCATTGGGCAGTTTCTTTGCAAGTCGTTTACCAGTGACTAGTAATGTCTAAGTCTTCTTTTCATTTAGAGGAAGTTTATTACGGTGTGTCCAACTTTCAATGTTCCTCAAAGCCACAGCTAGTGACCCTTGAAGAATGTTAATTGCAGAAATATCAGCCGTATATAGCGTAGTCTCATCTGCATAAAGATCTAGGTCAGCACCATGAACATGTAATGGTAAATGATTAATAAAAAGGACAAAGAGCAACGGGCCTAGAATGCTACCTTGGGGTACACCATATCTCACAGGAGCAGAATCTTAAGCCATGCCATCGAGGGCGACATACTGATACCTATCAATCAAGTACGAGCTAATCCATTGAAGTGTAATGGGAGACATTCCGTAAGCCTTTAATTTCTGTATAACGATTTCTCTGTTAACCATATCAAAAGCCTTTTTGTAATCTATAAGAGCAAGGTCACTTGCACGATCATTGTCGAGATTAAATAACAAATTGTCGATAACTCTAATAAGAGCAGTGTCCTTGCCATGATGTTTTCTGAAGCCAGACTGTAATGGGTACAGTAGGTTGTTTGCACTGAGGTAAACGTAGAAATGCATGTGTACATGACGTTCAAGTATCTTTCGGATAACACCGGTAATATAGATATAGGACGAAAGTTATCTAGAGCATCGCGATCGCCAGATTTAAATAAAGGAGTGACTTTCGCTGCTTCCAACAATCAGGAAAGACACCAGATTTGATTGAGATATTTAAAGTGCTACTTTGACGAAAATCGCTCCAAAATTAAAACTCWTTCATTCGAGCTGGAACTTTGTTGAAATAATCTTGAATACATTAAGAACCACTCACTGAAATATCTTTCTGATATTCGAAAGAAAAGGGCCAAAATTTTATGATTTATTTTCGTCCGCCATTAATTTCTTGTTAGAAGAATTCGGCTCAAGAAGACTGGCACGAGTAACATATGACGTCATACATTCAACCCAAACCAAAACATTGGTGACTAATGTATGTACCATGTTCGAAAAACTCGATTTATTTGGTTTCAGAAAATATATGATATTTCATTCGATTCCTTAACTACTATATTACCAAACAATGTCTTGGCGCTGAATTTTTTTTTTTTTCAGTTTCAATAATATTGACGTTCATAATTGTGACATTTCAATACATCTCGGCAAGCCAAGAATCACAACAAAGT